CCGCCCCCAGTTCCCTGTCCTTCTCACTTCTCCAGCGCACCTTCTCCTTTCCGAGGCTGTCCAAAACCTCTTTGCTCCACGGCACTGGCGCTGACTCGCATCTGAGATCAGCAGGCTGGTCCTCGACCTCGCTGCTCCACCCGCCCTCTTCCCCATACCCCGGGTCCCCCCAGCCCTCGTGGGAAGTCAGTGTTGTTTACCCAGGCCAGGCGCACACCATGACGACCTGCCGGATGCTGCTCTTTCTCGGTCCCACTGTCCCTCCTTCCACCATTGCCCAAGCCCCGCTAGGAAAACGTGGCTAGGGGCAAAGTACACACCGCTCCCCGACCCCGTCAATTTCTCACCTTCAATAGTGCACTCATGAAGAGATCTCGGGCAAGCCCCCTAACTTAGGTTTCTCCTAACTTGGGTTTCCTCTCCCGGAAAGTGGAGTTAATACCGATCCCTTTCCCCCACCTCCAACCCCCTGACTATGCCACTCAGGGGAGACAAACTGTAAAGTACTGGACGTAAGTAGATATTTCGTGGAGAAAGTGATGGAATGAGATAAGGCAACCCGAATCACGGAGAGGACAGATGGGAAGGGAAGGAACAGGAGAAGTCATCCATCAGAACGCAAGGACCCTGGCCTAACAGTTCCCTATTCGCACATGCTGCATCCTCACCCAATCTGCGAAGTTTGCGTGGCTTCCCGGACCCGCGGCGTTCAGGGATACCGGCTAGGTCCTTCCTCCCCATCCCTTGACCAGCCTGCAGAATACGCCAGTCTGCGGCTCTACGCAGAGGAACCACCCAGAGCCAGGGCAGCCCCAGGAGTCTACTTTCTCCGTCTTATCACCCTTTTGCGGGCCCATAGACTGAACTGGAGAGGAAAGAGGAGGGAAGTGGCCAGAGGCGGCCACAGCTCTCTCAGGATCGATAGCAGCCGTCCCTGTTCTGTTCGAGTCAATCCGGAACGTGGGAGGAAGGAGGGGTGGTGGGGCTCAGGATCTAGAAGGCCTCGGGATCAAAGAGGATGTTAGTGGGAGCGCCTTTTAGCCCCTCAAACAGAGACGCTTGAAGAGGGCTGGCAGAATACACCCAACCCCCAATTTCCAGACAGGGTCTCTCCTCTTGTACTGATTTTCAAGGGCTTCTCAGAAAAAGAAATCGGGACCGAAAACAACTTCCTGGACCCTCTGGGTCCTTCTCCGAGGGTGCGGTGGGAATGGGTGTACAGGATTCTGTAGCCATCGGGGGACCAACCTCCAAACTGAAATTCATGGCACCTGTCCAGAATTTACAATGTCCCAGGAAGGTGTAAGTGGCTTGTTGGTCTGTGTGACTTTGAAGGATGTGGGGTAGGAAAGCGCTTGTGTACTGGAGGATGCAGACAGTAAGTATGGCGTTGGGTGAGGAGGGCAGGTTGGTGCTTTTCCTTGAGAGGACATTCGTTTCAATACAGAACTGAGATGAGTGACTTCGGAGGTGGAGAATTTAGAAAGATGAGTCAGGTATTTTTTTCCTCCATGTCTCTATAATCAATTGCATTAAAATAAAAGTTCAATAAAAACAAATAGTCGCTCTCTCTCAATTTCTCCACACAAAACATTAATCTGGTGTGCTGTTGCTGTGTAAGCATTTAATCTGGACTTTAAACCTAGAATTCAGGAGCCAAGAGGCAAGCCCTGCCTTGCGCTCCTTCAACCCCTTGTAGACGCTGGGGTTAGTACCGCTGACTTGTTTATTGAGCCATCTGGACCCCGGGACAAACAGACCTAGGAACCAGAGCCAGCGTCGGGTCCTCGGCCCAATTCCCCTACTGCACTAAAGCGCCGCAAGGAATCCTCTTTCCCCGACATCTGGGTCCCGGGGTCCCTTCACCCCCAAACGGAAAGAGCAACCTCTTCCTGCCCACCCAAGGAAGCAGCGGGCCTCGGGTTCGGAAAGGGCCGGGAGCTTAGTCCAGCTGCCACACAGGTCCCCGTCTACAGTCCTTTTCCAGCTCCCCCACCCTGTGGCTCCACTGTTTTGCATGAGAAGGAGCCCAGCTGGGGTGGAGGCGGGGGTATGCCACCTGGGACTAGGGCTGCTATAGATTCCAAAAAGAGGCGGTTGAGTGGAGGTCGCTAGCGGCTAGCACTGGGACAACTGGGCTAGGGGGACCTGGAGACCGCTCTGCTGCTCTGGCTCTTCCAGGAGAGTTTCACCTAGCTGCGAGCTGAGAGGTGCCTCGCAGACCGGTGTACCACGCTGCTCTTTGCGCCTCCGGGGTGCCAGAATACAGGGTTCTGGTCGGCTTGCTCTAGGGTACATCAGGTCCGTAGGGAGAGCTCCAACTCCGCGCCCGCAGAGTACGCCGGCTAAATGGTAGAGCCGCCCTCTCTACCCGTGCCGCTGCCCAGAGTTTCCGCCTGGGAAAGACTGGCGGATGGGTGGGTGTGCCGGAGCTAAAGAGCCGGCAGCCCTGCCCCAGCCCGCAGCTGGAAGCCGGAGCCCAGGTGTGTAAGTGCTGCAGGTGCAGAGAAGGCATTAGAAGACTGGCTCCCTGAGGTCGCCTCGGGGCCGAAAACCCTAGAGGCATAGAAGGGACCTTGGCAGCTCCAGTGAAAACTTAACGCCCTCAATGATTTAACAAGGCAATGACTGCCGGAGGGCTTCCGAGTTGCCGGAATGTGCCCGCCGAGAGAGAAAAGGGGCGTTGGCAGAGACCTAAAATCCAACAACCTCACCCAACGCCAGCCGAATTCAATGTAGCGCTTTCCCTGTTCGTCCGAAGAGGGTATCCTATTTCTGCGGAGCTGGATTCCCTGACAATCCAGATTCGTTGCTACTACGTTTCTTCGGCATTTCCCCTAAGGCTCTCCCCCACATAGCTTGAGTGATCAAGAGGCCAATTCCAAAATATAAACTAAACCTTGCTTTTTTCTTACTAGGGCTAAATGCACCTTTCTAGAATCTCCTCCCTAAAAACAAAAATGTGGAGCAAAATTGGGATCGCGGAGACCTACCACCTCAGACTCCATGTCGTGAGAAATCCAGGTTGAGCCTAGAAAAAGTGCAGTAGAAACAATTTGGGGGTTGACTTGAGTACTCCGGAAAACTAGAGTGACTCTTAGAGGATCAGCCTCTCCGGATCCGGATTCGACCCCCACCCCCCACTTTCAGGCAAATCCGCCCGTGAGGGCAGTGGTCCTGAATTTATGCCTGAAATGGAACTACGGAGACAATATGCTCCCTAAGGAGTGAGCACTGGAAGGCATGGTCTGCTGTTTTCTGGGGAGGTTGGTGCCAGCCTGAAACCTGAACGGTGGACAGATTGGAAGCCGGGCACACTATGCCAGTGCATTACACACGTCCATTTACTGCAGGCCCTCTGTGGCGCCCCAGGAACTCCTCCTCCTCCCTCCTTCCCACCGCCACTATCACTGCCCCCCAGCTGCCGGAGCCCCCGCGGTTTCCCTCCTAGTCGTTTGTTTTTGTTTGCAAAAGGTGTCTCCGGATCACAATTTTCTCACAACTTCCCGCCGGGATTTAGACTCCTCACCGGAGGCACTTCCCCACCCACTCCTTCCCCCACCTGGGCGCCGCGCCTCGGGTCTCCCCCGCCCCCACCAGGAAACGACCGAATCAACTTTCCAAGAGCGCGCTGCAGGAGAACGACACCCAGATCACCCAGACACCGGACCCAGCGGACTTTGGATGCACTGGGGGAGGGGATATAGAAATAGGGACGGGAGGAGGGAGAGTCAGCTGCCAAGCGCCCCCTGCCTCCCCAAAGACTCGCGCTGTGCCCGTGGCAAACTTTCAGGCCAAATAAAGCAAGCCGAGGAGTGGGGGAAGTGAGGGTAGTGGGGATGCCAACACGCGGTGAATTGCAAAAGCTACGCTGTGCACTGGGGCTGCTGAGCTCCACCGGCCGCACCCCAACCTTAGACAAGGCTCTATCTGGGATTGCCCCTACCTCCTACAGAACTCTGGTCTCTGCCTGCGCCTATTCTCGCCCTCTCTGTCCCTCCCACTGAAACCGACGCCTTACCGAAGCAGGAGGAGGCCAGGGCACCTCGCTGCCCGTCGCCGGTGCCGCGCGGGGCCGTAAGTACCGACACTGATCCTCTAAACGCGGTCTCCCCGCACTCTCCCGGGCCGGGGGATGCAGAATGGTTTACAGAGGGACCGCGAGGCGCTGATTGGTCGCAGCCCGCCGTGACGTCGGCGGGCGCTGCATTAAGGCGAGGGGGCTTCCAGAGCTCAGCCAACAGGCAGAAGCAGTGACCGAGCCGCTGGAGCTGGGGAGAGACGCACCCGGGTGGCTGACTGGGGCAGAATACCAGGGACGCGCGCCGGGAGAAAGCCACCAAGGAGCCGCTGCCCGACTTGCGACAACGGCAGTCCGCGCCAAACTGTTCCAGCCGCTGGCCTACTGTAGGCGCTGCATGAGGACATTATTTTAAAGCTCTCCAAGCGGCCCCCTCCCCCCGACTCCTCCCGCTGCAAAAGGAAAAAAAGGGGGGGAAGGAGACTATAAAGGAAACCCAGATTTGCCGCCACAACGAAAAGAGAGGGGGGAAAAGGGAAAAGAAAAGAAAGTAGAGCGACTGTGGGTTTGGACGCAAGCAGCCGCTGGAGCGTGGGCCGAGCGATGCCGGGCTGCGCGCCCAGGCGGCTGAGAGTTGTGACTGAAGCCACGATGCACTGCCAGGCACGGTGAAGAGCCAGAAGGCATTGCCTCTCCAAAGGAACCCAGGCGCAGGGAGGGCCGCCTCGAGGACCAGGAGGCCGCCCGGCAGGCCACCAGCCGAGGTGACCGGGCTGGGCGGTGGGGAGCTAGAGAGTGCGTCCGTCCGAAGTTGTCACTCTCCGTTTTCGATTGACACAAACACTTCTCCAAAAGGGGGGAAACCTAAGCAACAACTGCAATCGACAAGATCTCCTACCTTACTCTCCCTCCCACCTCCCCCTTTGGCCTACCCCCGCCCCCTCCCCCAGGCCCAGCGCGGGCGCCTGGCGCGTCCCAACCCGCTGCACTATGCCGGCAGTTTAGGATCCAAAGCTTCTCTACTTGTTTTGTTCTTTTCTTAAAAAACAAAAACAAAAAACAAAAAAAGAGGGGGAAACCCCGGTGGTGGGCAGACTAGGACGCACACACCCACCTTCATATCCCGACAAAAGCAGATGCACTTTGACTTCTGACAGCTCTACCTCAAGCCCGGAGAAAACTCAGCGGCGCCTTCCCCGCAACTCGTGCTCCGGGTGTCTTCCTCTTCTTTTCCGACTCCGTTTTATTTATTTATTTCCGTTCCCGCCGCGGTTCTTGGTGACCTTCATTCCTCCGCAGGCTCTGAGCAGAAGAGTCCCTTTCCCGCCCGCCTGAGACTCCTTTTCCTCGCCTGGGGAGCTGAGGGGGCGTTGCTCCTCCCGGTGGCCCTGGGATTCCCGGGTCACACACTAGCGAGGCACCCCTCGCCCCGCGTCAGCCTCCTTTCCCCCATTTGGTTTCCTGTTGCGGGTTTTGGCTTGCACGGCCAAGAGTGTCTCCTCTTTGGGGAGGGGCTGGGGAGCTGTGCCGTCATCTTCGGGAGTCTACTTCGTCTCTACTTGCTCCTAACTCTCCGGGCCTCACCCGACCAAACCAAAGACCATGGTGCACTGTGCCGGCTGTAAAAGGCCCATCCTGGACCGCTTCCTCTTGAACGTGCTGGACAGGGCCTGGCACGTGAAGTGTGTCCAGTGCTGTGAATGTAAATGCAACCTGACCGAGAAGTGCTTCTCCCGGGAAGGCAAGCTCTACTGTAAGAACGACTTCTTCCGGTGAGTACTTCCCTCCCACGCCTCTGCTGCTCCCTCCCGGCGGGCCCTTCCTGGCCAGCTTCGGATCAGAGGTCAGCGTGGTTAAGGAAGCCGCGTTAGGAGCTGCCGCTGAAGAGGGCAGCCAAGATACACAGGCAGAAGCCTGCCTCTTCGCCAGCTGGCGCCCTGAGCCTCGGGTAGCGGCTACCGGCGTCCTGGAAAGTGTGGGTCGGGGCTTCGCAGCACGTGTCTAGGAAGAAAGAGTGGGAGCCCGCCTCAGCCCTGAAGCCACTCCTAACTTGGAAAAGATAAGGCAGCCTCGGGTGGGTCAGCCCCAGTTCCTATCTTTCCCAAGCCAAGCTCTCCAGCAACTACATCTTAGGGACTCCCCGGATTGTTTCCCTTCCAGGCTGAGCTTAGGAGCCCCTGCTCCTTCCCAGCTACTGCCTTTTGCGTTTGAGACGTCTTGGCGGGAACCACCGAGGCTTTTGGGTGAAGCGCCCCAGACTTTTGCAGTGGTAGTAGTAATAAAGAACTCAGCCTTGAGACCAATCCTGCAGGCCCAGTATTCTTCCCTAAACCCGGACTGGTTTCCAAGTGTAGTCCTGGGCAAACTGCAGCACTGTAGCAAGCAAAGTGCCCCTAGGGTTTTTGTTTTTGTTTTCTGCATCCCCTGCTGGGGTTAGCTGGCAGTTCCGGCGGCTCAACCCTGACCCTGGCTGTGCAGAGCAGACTCCTCTCCAGAGCCCTCCTAGTCACTGTTCAGCCACAGCCCCGCACCTCCTTGTCTAGACCCAACTGGTTCGTAGCTCATTAGAGCCATTAGACTTCTCTATATTCCCTCCCTCGGTTCACCATTTTAATTGTATTTTCTCAAACTCTCTATTTTACCACCTCATCCGCACAAACACAAGTCAATCAAGAACAGGCGTAAATAGGAATTGTAATTCCACTGTGTGGGTTGGAAACCTCCCAGTATACTGGATGACTTGGTCTCCGCTTTCTTTCAGTTTTTGGTGACATATTAAAATTGATGTATTGGGGGGGGGAGTATCGAGGCCACACGGAATGCTCTGCCCACAGGCCCAGAAAGCGCAGTCCCCAATTCCGATTCAGGACATGTGGTTTGGCTTTACCAGGAATCCTAGAGCAAAGCGCTATGCACGCTGTTATTAGTGGGAGGCTGAGCCTCAGAGCCTCAGCCGGCTGCCCGGTTTTCTCTGCAATGACTGGATCCGAGTCAGAGGGCGGCGAACCATACCCGCTTCCAGCGGGCCCCTGAGGCCTGGCTCGCAGCAAAACTCAGCAAGGCGCCTAAAGCCGGCTCTGCCCCGCCGCTACCCCCACTTGCGCCAATCTGCCAGGCTTTGGGCATGATCGTGGCAGCAGCCCACCTACTGCCACCAGGGCTCTCCGCGACTGTGTTTGTTTTACCCACGGCTAGACAGGACCTTTATCCGTGCGCAGATCCTTTTGTGATTAAAAAAAAAAAAAAAAAGAGGGGATGCTAGGAAAGAAAAACGGCACTCTTGAGCGCGTACATATGGCGCCCTAATTCGAACTTGACTCCTGAAATCTAATTGGAAAATAAGTGTTCCGGTCCCCGTAATCCGCTTCCCCTGTGATCACCTTGCCGCCTTTTTCCAGGACTCTCTTTTTCCCTGGGCCCTGAGGCTGGGGTTGGCCAGCAGTTTGAGTCCCTTCTTCTAACCATGTATTTCCTCTCTCACTTTTCCCGGATGCCCCGCGCTCTCTCCTGCCACCTCACCTGCTCAATCTGTATTCTGCCTTTTTGTCACACTTTCATCTCCCTCTTCTTCCTACTTCTGTTTTTCCTTCCCTGCCTTTCTCCTCCCTTCCTTCCCTCCTCCCTCCACTTCTTTCTTCTGCTCTTTTCTTTCTCCCATTCTCTGTCTTCCCCCCGCCCCTGGTCAACCCCTACCCTCTGCAGATGTTTCGGTACCAAATGCGCGGGCTGTGCGCAGGGCATCTCCCCTAGCGACCTGGTACGGAGAGCGCGGAGCAAAGTCTTTCACCTGAACTGCTTCACCTGCATGATGTGTAACAAACAGCTTTCCACCGGCGAGGAGCTCTACATCATTGACGAAAACAAGTTCGTCTGCAAAGAGGATTACCTAAGTAATAGCAGTGTCGCCAAAGAGAACAGCCTCCATTCTGGTGAGGCCCTGATTCCCAGCTGGCTAGGGGCGGGCGGGTCCTGAGGGAGGGAAGGCCGACCAGGCCCCTGCTCACCAGTCCCTTTCCTCTTCTCAGCCACCACGGGCAGTGACCCCAGTTTGTCTCCGGATTCCCAAGACCCATCGCAGGATGACGCCAAGGACTCGGAGAGCGCTAATGTGTCCGACAAGGAAGGGGGCAGCAACGAGAATGACGACCAGAATCTGGGCGCCAAGCGCAGGGGACCGCGCACCACCATCAAAGCCAAGCAGCTGGAAACGTTGAAGGCAGCCTTCGCTGCTACGCCCAAACCCACACGACACATCCGAGAGCAGCTGGCGCAGGAGACAGGCCTCAACATGCGTGTCATCCAGGTCAGAGTCCTGGCGTGCCACTCCTTCCCCCTGAGGCCCACAGGGCCACTCAGTGCACCCGGTCCAAGCCTGGGACAGCTCTGAGTGGAGGAAGGGAGCGAATCTGTGGTGGCTGGTAGAAAGTGGGGGGGAGGCCAGACTCCCTCCGAACCTTGGAAAAGCTGATGCGCTGATGCGATGCGTGGAACATCAAGAAATCCCTCTTCCGCGCCCAATAGTTGTCATGGATAGAGAGGGGAGTCAAACAGCTAAAACACTGTCATACACCACAAGAACAGTTAGGACCCCTCTTTCTGCACACATCCTGTCCCACCCACCACCCACACCATTAGGAAGGAGTGAAGAGGTTCCTGTGGACTACAGAATGGAGCAGTTCTTCTAGATTCTGCACAACATTTTCTCCCAGTCTCCAACCCCAACTTTGTGGGTCTCTTGCCCCAGTAAGACAAGTCCCAGAGCAGAGACTTCCCCTCCAAAGAAAGGTGGGGGCATCCTGGATTGAAGGGGAAGGAAGTGGTTCGGTGGAGAGTCAGCTCTGCCTGAATGCATTCCGGAGTGGGATGGGGGAGGAGAGGCCATCTGGAGGCTACTGAGCCTATGCATTGGGAGGGGGAGGAAGGTGAGACCTGGGCGGTGGGAGTCTCTGACCCAAGGCTAGATGTGGGATCAAGATGCCTGGAGGCTCTGTGCCTGGGAGATTCGGTGTACTTTTGTGAGTGTGTGGGGCAGCCGGCCCTGAACCGCAGGCTCTGAGACCTTTGAGAGGTCGTGCCAACCTGTGTGTATGAAGTGGAGGGGGGGGGGTTGTGTGTCCGTGTCACTGTGATCACTATTAGTGAGAGGCAGTGGATAAGTATTTGGCAGAGAGTTTGTGCGTAGGTGTGAAGAGAAGATGGTGATTTTGGTCACTGCCCTTGGGAAACAGAGAGTAAGAAGCCGCCCGTGTCTCCGTCACTATCACAGGGTTGTGGGCAGTGGCGGGTTGGGGGGGTTGCTTCAAGGAATCGTGAAAGGGAAGCTGTGTGCATGATACTGTTTTGAAGCGTTTAGTGAATAGGGGTGTAGAGCCCCTCAGAAGCTGTAACTGTGACAGTATGACTGTTGGAAACAATGCGGCTACACAACATCCCCCAGTCGGGAATCCTGCCCACATTTGGCTCAGTGTCTGCCCTGCGCGGTCCTACTCAGAGACCCCACCACTAATTTCATACCTCGCCCCGGAAGCCCAGCGTCGCGCGCGAGTCGGGTATTGGAGGGGTGAGGGGCTGGGTCCCGCCGCACACGCGGACTGGGGAGTGGAGTTTCCGCGGCTTCACTCCGCGGCGTGTGTGCTTCAGGTCTGGTTCCAGAACCGGCGCTCCAAGGAACGCAGGATGAAGCAGCTGAGCGCGCTAGGAGCCCGGCGCCACGCCTTCTTCCGCAGTCCGCGCCGGATGCGGCCGCTAGTGGACCGCCTGGAACCGGGCGAACTCATCCCCAACGGCCCCTTCTCCTTTTACGGAGGTGGGTGCGCGGCCGAGTGGCAGGGCACCGCCAGGCCGGGACTGGCTTCGCTGGAAGCGGGTGGCAGCACGGGAGGCACCCTTTGCTTTGAGTAGAGAAGAGAAGATTCAGGGTAGAGAAGGGAATAAATTCGGGGGAGGTGGTGAGACCAAGGGTCAAATTCCTCACTTTGAACTAGGAAAGTGAGCCGGTAGGGGGGACTAGCGGCTGTCTTTGCGCAAAATTCTCCTCCATGCTCCCAGACCCGCAGGATCCTACCCCCATAAACATCTAGTGCCCCCCCCCCCGTGCTCGCCTTCACGCCCTTCCTGTCCTGACAGTCCCGGGGGCCCCCTGCCCTGATATCCTCCTTTCTGCCACTCTGCAGATTACCAGAGTGAGTACTACGGTCCTGGGGGCAACTACGACTTCTTCCCGCAAGGTCCCCCGTCGTCACAGGCCCAAACACCAGTGGACCTACCTTTTGTGCCGTCTTCGGGGCCGTCCGGGACGCCTCTGGGAGGCCTGGAACACCCTCTGCCCGGCCATCATCCGTCCAGCGACGCGCAGCGGTTCACCGATATCCTGGCGCACCCCCCAGGGGACTCACCCAGCCCAGAGCCCAGCCTGCCTGGGTCTCTGCACTCCATGTCCGCTGAGGTCTTCGGGCCCAGCCCGCCCTTCTCCTCACTGTCGGTTAATGGAGGGGCGAGCTACGGAAACCACCTGTCTCACCCCCCTGAAATGAACGAGGCGGCGGTGTGGTAGCGGGGTCTCTCACGGTTCGTGGAGTTTCCTGGTTGTACAGAAATGAACTTTTATTTAAGAAAAAATAGAAAAAAAAAAAACATAAGAAGCAAGCCTCCTGCCCCACTTCCTCCAGCCTCGGGGACCATTCTTGGTCTGGGGAGACCAGATGGGAAAGGGGGACACAAAATGGGATCCAAATCCGTTTCGAGGCGGGACTGGGATGTGCGCACTGGATGGCAAGGTTCAGAACTGGGGCTCCGGAAGGGATATGCAGAACTCTCCCCCACCAGAACCGGTATCACTGGACAGATCCACAGGCTGTGTCCCTGGCCGGCGGGCGGCAGAAAGACATCCTGAGAGCCGCAGGCGCACTCAGCCATTGGTGATGCCGGGAGCCTTGGGGAGGGAGGCTGTGAGGCGCGCAGCCAGGTGAGGGAGGCGAAGCCGCCGGCGCGCTCCCGGGCCAGCCCGAAGGGTTGGAGCCCTGAGATATCCCCTGTTAGTGTCTCAGAGTTCAGCGACAGCGACAACAAACTCTTATAGCTTCAGAAACACCGACCTGCTGTGCATCAGGTGGGACTATATATATATATATATTTTGTCTGGGTTTTTGTTTTTTGTTTTTGCCAAAATTGCAAGATTCTAAATGTATAGCCCTCAGTATCAACTCTTCTACCTTCACAAAACTCTACACGCAGAGATACACACAAACACACTGGTTAGGATGGTCTCCAGCCAGACCACTCAGTAAAATGACTTGAACATCGGCTGTACATGAAAAGTATTCTACCTTTACACACAAAAGTTTAAAAAAAAAGACTATTGAACTAAAAACAGTCAACTGTTTACGTATAATGTTAAATTCAGGAGTTCAGTGTTTTACTAATATATCCTGTTTTGAAACCTCTTGTTCAAAAAAATGTTTTGAGCAATCAACCAAAATTGTTATTTTTCTTTTCCTGTAGATGTTCTGACAGATTTGCAGGGCTTTCAGCTCACTGTGCTAGTATGTAAAAAAGTGTTGTTTACGCGAGGCAAAGAAAACATGATATTCAGACAGTTGCCAAATAGAATAATTATAGCACAAATACTGTAAAGGTGCCTGGCACCAGCAACCTGAGAAAGTGTTAAAAAAAAAAAAAGTGTTACAAGGTTTAAAAAAAAAAAACATCTTTGCTAATTTTTAGTCCTGTTGAACATTCATGGAATTGTTAATATGACTTATATAGACCCACACAGGTTTTATTTTTGTGTCTTTAAAATAAAAGTCCAAAATATTTAAATTTTATGGTCAAATATGCAGTCAACAGCTGCTACTTTTTTCTTCATATATTAAATTTCTCATATGTCTTTTATTGTTCTAATAAACCTAAGCTTGTGTGACCTCCAGTGCATATTAGACCATTCACTGTATGAAAGAAAACATGTTGAATAAATTTGTGAGTTTTTAATAAAAATAGAAAACCTGATGTTTAGATAACTGGTGTGGTATTTGATGATTTCAGCTGACTAGAGGGAAGCCCTGAGGGGTACTGAGAGGGTCTCAGAAGCTAGAAGAGAAGCAGGATTGGGCTGATGTATCTGTTTTTGCCTTGGCTATGGCTGAACTCCTCTACTAATGCCAGCCAAGCTTTACTCCATGGCTTCCTGCTGCTATTAAATACAGATTTGTACTCTGTGGATTTAACTGATACAGTTGAAGAGATATTTGCTGATAAGTTAATATAGAATTTAAAATAGAAATGAAATCCCTGGCTAAAAAAAATGAGTGGTCCCAGCCTGTGATTAGGCATGAGAGCCAGAGCATTCTCTCTCCCCTTCTCTCTGTACATGCAAAACTGGGCTTGGGAATGTCAGATACTTGTAAATATAGTTAGAGGTGTTCCTTTTTAGTTTCAATTCATTTCCCACAGTAATCCTACTTTCTAATTTGGGGGTTTGAAAGATAATGTAAAATGAATGCACAGTATAGCTGGAAATGAAATACTTTAATCCCTTTCACAGAACTGATATGAAATTGTTATTTTGTAGTATCTGTTACATTTGAAGTTCCCCAGAAGAAAAAACTATTTTGTCTGGCACAAGATACATAGTAAGTTTCTCTGAAAGATGAAGAAAAATAACTAATAGAAAAATCAAATTTCAACTGGGAATTGCCAGTAGATTCTGAAAAGTAGTTCAATTCCCTCCAAACCTTCATTAGAAATGGAAAGAATTTGAATATTTTATCTACTATGAAATACTTGTGCTTGGGTCTATGTATGTGTTTTAATATCAGAGGCTATTAGAGTTCCAGAATTTCTTTTCCATATCACCTAGATTTCAGTCTGGCTTATTTATTTGCTTATTTTTTAAATCAAAGTTTTTATATTAAATAGTGTGTAATTTCCAGCACTGTTTTCGTATTTTGTTAAGACACAGCCAACTTTATCTTTCCTGCAGAGAAAGGCTTTAAAATGAGCAATATTTCACTGCATCCCTATGATGGCTTATCAAATGCGAGAGGGGGCACTATCAGGGAGGAATCTAGCAGTGTTCTTTCAGAAATAAAAAATTATGAAATACAAGGGAGACTTTGAAACTCCTATCCTCGGCATACACCACATTTTCTTCATCTGCTTTATATGCAATCACCGAAACGGCTTGTTTTTTGCCCTTTTCGCATTTATATACATTAAATCATAGCTAACTTATTCATTACAGCCACCACCTCTATCCCCTCCCCCTTAAAGACATTCATTTAACTGAACGTATGCTCATCGGGAGGCTGCATTTTCCTATCAAGGCTGCTGAATTATTTAGCAGCTTTATTGTGGTATCGGGGTATTTGATAAGAAGCGTTTTAGAGTTGGGGACGCGGTGTGGATTCTATTCTAACTCCGTGGCAGTCGCACCGTCTTTCCTTTCAGCTCGGTACTGTGAATCCTGGCGAGTACCAGAACAGGTGGCAATGCTCAGCAGTCTAATTTGATGCCAAAGGCCCTGGAAGAAAAGTTCTAGAAATGGCAGGGTCTGATCCCCTTCTTTTCAACGCTGGCGCCGCCACACTTCTTGCGCTAAAGTGAGGGAAGCGCTACACCGTCCTCCACGGAGCTCCCAGGAGAGGCGTGCCAGCGGAAGAGAAGCAGCACTGCGGTCCCCTCTTGCCCGGGAGGTCAGCCTCCTCTCAGACCCAGTTTGGCAGCCTGGTTTCTTCCTGCGGCCATCTTAAGGTCGCCACTTCTATGCCTCCTGCCACCTGCCCTCAGGATTCCAGCGTCGGGAAGCTGCCTTGGGCTGCGGGCGAAGGAGCTTCAAAAACTCACCCATCCAACTTCTCCCGGCTGACCAGCCAACACTAGACAATTTTGCTTTGGTACGGGACAAGTTGGGGAAAGAGCAGGAGGAGAACCTGGACGAGCATCGCCACTGATCTGGGACCTGGGGTTTGATGGAGTCTGATAAGAGAGACAGGTTGGGATCTGGTTTTCCCCTAAACTCTTGAAACTTCTGGTCAAGCAAACAGTTGGTGGGAATGTCTAACGTCACCTCTGTCCATTCTCTGATGCTCCTTACATCTGCCTGCTACTTTGCAGCTAACTTAGTAGGCAGGGGGATTGTGAACCAGGAGAAACAGGAGAACCTCCTGCCTTCTCTCCAGAGGACAGACTGTTCTTTTGGAAGACTGCTCTTTTTATTCTCATCTCTCTGCTCACCTCATCTGCTCTCATTTATAGAGCACTCAGAGGTGGAAATTTCTTCCAGGGAGGTATAGTCTGAAACATTTCCTCCCTTAGTCTACCTTCTATTTCCACCCCCACCCCACCCATCTTGATATGGCAGCCCTTCCTCCACATCTCAAGAAACTAAAATGCAATTAGGGAGGGACCCTCAGATGGAGCATTTGAGAGGTTTCTCTTCTAAGCCTATGGCTTAACTTCTCTCAGTTGTATCTGAAATCCTAGAATCCTTTCTTCTAATTTCTTACTCTCAGTATGGGGTAAGAAAGCAGGAGAAAACATTTTGGGAATGTGTACCACAGGAGTGCTCTTGATTCTTTCCTAAAAAAGAATTCCCAAGTCAATAGAGAGTAGGACAGAGAAGGGAAAGTAGTTCAGCAGGTCTTTGGCATTTTCTGCTGAGTGTTTGCCCAGCCCAGCCCCATATGAGCTACCAGTGTCCTGTTTGATTGATATTTAGAGGAGGTCTCTACCCTGCCTCACCTCCCTCTCCCTTTTTTCCTTTCTCTCTATCTGGAAGACTAGATTTCTAAGCACTATTAGTGCCCCAAATAGAAAGGGAATGGGATTGGGGGAGTTCATTTTCCAAATGTAGAACGGAGGAAACATTTTTGAAGCCAGAGTAATAGCACCTTGTGGAAAACTGAAGAGCATATTTTTGCTCTAGAGGCCCAGATGCAGGTACAAGACTGAAATTATTCAGGATACATTTAAAAACCAAAACTTGCACTCATAGCCTGAGTCTTCTCACAGATGGCAAAAAGAGGTTTTCTTCATCTGCGTTCCCTTGCATAGCCTGGCCTTCTTTCCCTTCCCTATCTGAGGGGGTTACCCTAAGACAGGGTTTCCTTCCTTTCTGCAACTATGGTTGACTTCATTGAAGAGCCACATAGAACAGGGATGTGGGGAGGGACTAAAGTCCCTCCTTTCATTGCTTGATCTGGGGGTATATTAAGACTAAAAGTCAAGAACCCTTTCTTCCTTTGGGTTCTGACATAGGAGACATTGGGGACCTAATGCAGCTGCTCAGGTTGTTCAGCTGTGGGGTCTAACTGGCCCAGATAGTACTCAAGAAGAGGCACTGCCCTTCCTTAGTGCATCCCTAAGTCTTTTTTTCTGGATCCCTTTGAGGCAGTTTTTCTATTTAGCTGGTTCTAGGTCTTTACAAGTGACCTCCAACAGATACTGGAAGGATAGACCACTTTGTAGTCTAGTCAGTCTTATCATTCTTTATTGCAGTTTATGTTTAGATGTTTGTCTGTCCCCCTAGGCTGATCACTGTGGTAGAGAAGCTAACTTATTCATCTTGTATCTCATCTAGCAGTGCCTGCCACATAGTGGGCAGTCAGGGAAAGCTCAATGAAGAGAAGACATTGTAAAGGGGCTGCTTTTTTTCATATGTCTGGTGCAATTATATCTGTTCTATTGTCTTTATATTTTGAGACTACCCCTCTAAAAGTGAACCTGAGTTTTTTAGATTTTTTAAAAAAATTTTCACATTTATGCCTCAGTTCCAGGTGTCTAAGTACTCCTTCATCTCTAAGTAGTAAAGATATCAAATACCGAGCGTGCACTAGAATAATCCCCACTTCACCCCTTTTCCTTGCTCAAGCAAGACTGCTTGGAGAAGCTACAGAAACCATCTCTGTTTGTGCACATAGTGATTCCTAATTATTCCTATTTATAAAGAGCCCAGTAGTTTGCTTCCACTTACACATATACATCCCTGACATAGGATTTCCATATCCCAGCCACCCAGGAGTGGGGTAGAGTATTCCCAGACTCAGATTCCTCTAAATTATGAAAAGCCAAATCTGTTTTGGGTCCCAGTATATGCCTCTGTGAGTACGCACCCAAGGTTTCCTTCTTCCCAAAGCAGCCACCGTGGGCTACGGTTACAGTACGCTTTATTCTTAAATGAACCTCACACAAAGCTTGAGGCATATTTTGTGCAAGGGCACAAGGGCTGCGCGCAACGCAATCAACGCTCGGAGCCAGAGGCAGTCACGTGCCACCGCGCGCTCCCGCGTCTCTCCACACGCTACCTCGACGCACGCGCACGCGCACACGCGTTCGAAGGGCCACAATCCCTTAAACCTTCCGCGCGCTTCCGCCGTCAACCTAGCAACGCCGTAGTGACACGGCAGGCCCCGCCCCCTCCCGCTCGCGCCTCCCGGAAGTTGCCGGTCTGGAGCTGAGCTCCAGGCTCCGCGCGGTCCCTGGCTGTGTTGTGGAGGAGTGTCTGAGCTAGAGCTTCTGGCCTGGGATAGAGCGTTTGAGCAGGGGCTTGGGTCGCACATTCACGTGCACAGCGCGAACCCGGACCTGGTGACGATGGCGGGAACGCAGCCCCTGGCCCTGCAACTGGAACAGTTGTTGAATCCGCGACCGCGAGAGGCGGATCCTGAGGCCGACCCGGAGGAGGGTGAGGCCTGACAGGCGGGCCACGTGTCGAGCTGTGGGCTCTGCCTGGCGGGGATCGGGGTGGCATGTGAGGGGTTTGCAGCCGTGCCTCGCCGCCTCTCCTACTCTTGTAGAGGAAAATTGCCTCCTGCGAGGGTTGCCCCCGGACTCTGGAGGAGAACTTCAGCTTCTTTCGACCTGCCCTCTAGATTTGGTGTCCCAGTGGGTGGGCGGTCCCGGACTCATCCCCAGCATTCCAGCCAAGAGCTGGTTAAAGTTGATCGAGGGCTGTTGGAGGAAACCAGAGTGTGGCAGCAGGCCCGATAGCAGGTTGGAAATTATCTTTCAGGAAGTC